AAATGAATGTTTTAGCAGCAACACTTTCTTATCCAAGCAAATCGTTCAAGAGCTCACTAATGAAAACAAAACAAATATAGATATAATTAATACAAACGACCATTTGTTGAATATAAGTCAACAGAGGAAGAGAAATGAAGCCTAGTGTCAATGAAGCGAGACCGCGCGAGGTAAACAGGGACTGGGGCTATTACAAAGTGGAGACCAAGGTTATTACAAAATGGGACTGGGGCTATTACAAAGTGAAGACCGAGGCTATTACAAAGGCGTAATGAGAGCTGCTGTAAATTACAAGTGTGAGCCAGGAGACCTTGCCTAATGTTTGTATGTAATCCTCTTCCCAAGGATGGGTCTCTGGTGCTTCATAACACGATACTGGTGAAGAGGAACCTCGTACAGGAACAGCAATATGAGTTTCTATTTATATTTTACACAGATATTTTGTCACGATTGCTTGCTTGTTGAGTCTTCCTCAAAACTACACCAAGTATATACTGCAGAACCTGCAGGGCGCATGCAGTGGTCATGAGACACTACCAAAAAGAGGATGAGGGTTCAGAGCTGTGCGGTGTTGTCAGGTTTGATATTAACAAATGCCCCCCGGGACACCCCCGACGGGGTGGCCCGGTCCCACGGTGCACGCGTTAATGTCCTCACTTCAACCTCTCGGCCACTTTCTGAATCCATTATGATAGCACAAATTGATAGTTATGTTGTTATTTTGTTTTCTTTTTATATTTTTATTTTTGAAATTATGTAAGTGAATGCTAGGAGCTGTAACGTCAACATTGCTAGACTCATAATGTACTAATAATAATTATATTGAAGGGCAAAGACAAAATATTATATTATTTTAAGCTTCTCTATATCTTCGTATGGTGAAAATCGCGGTCGCAGCTACACTTACGGTGTTGCGTTATAATATTACTGACCCAATCATGCGGACTCGAGAGCCGAAGTTGCCAGTAAGCGAAGACCGGAAAGCATGCAAGCAATGAGAACCCTTCAGCCATATCATAAACGAAAGACGCTGCAAACATACAAGTCACGGGAACAATGCAGCCATGGTAACCGTGATAAATACTGGAGTGCATTTCACTACCAACTCCGAGGCATATTATAAAAAAACTTCACATTGCCTCTTAGAACAATAGCCTATGGAAGTGCAAGCCTTGCAGGATTCTAAACATTGGCGTGCGTACCAAGTGAAGCGATCGCAGTGTATACGGCATCCAGAGCGGAATATAGATATAATATAAATACAAGTTTAATATGAATACAAGTTTAATACGAATACAAGTTTAATACGAATACAAGTAGTAATGTTTCATTGGACTGTCGTGCCATATATCAAACGTGTTTTAATTACATTTTACGGAGCTCATGTATTCTCTTAAGAAAGATTATGTTAAGAAAATTAAGTTAGATTAGGTTTTGATAAGTTCGGTTAAGTTTAGCGAGGTTTCGTATACTTGCTTGCCACAGCCATTTTTCTCTCCTTCAATAGAAAACGAAATTTCCTACATTAACTAACATAGCGGTGGCTGAAGCATTTACCCGAGGATACTGTCCTGGTAGCGCTATAATCTACGGTTTCATGAGTCCTTCAAGAAACTTAATTTCAAAGAAAAAAGATCATGTTACATTAGTGTTGTTTACACCGAGGTGGACGACACGGTGTGTTGTTTACACCAAAGTGGACGACACGGAGTGTTGTTTACACTGAAGTGGACGACACAGAGTTGTTTACATGGAGGTGGCCGACAACAATGCCCTTTAACCTAGCCAATTATTGGAATGCTGTAGACAATCAAGACAAATTACAGCAAAAAATATGCGCTCTTACCCTGCAGGCAATCATGTGTTGTTATTCAGTGAGAGGTACAAGCTGAATTATACTTCTTTTGCCTTGCTATCAGTTATATGACCTTTGTATTTTAGCACACAGTAGCCGAAGTCAGAGCCAACAATGTCGATTCGCTGTTCAATGAGCTCGTTCATAATTTATGCAACTAACGATAGTCCATCATAATGAATGTTGGCAAACCACTCGTTAATACTGTAATTAACCCCCGTTTATGACTTAAACCAATTTTACACTCTGCTCACAACTGATTGCGCTCGAACAGTTCTCAAACATTCCTGTGTTTGAATCCTTTCTCTCTAAATGCTTCATTCACGTTCTGTAAATGTAAATAACTGGTAACAAAAACAAAACACCCGACCTACCCTAGGCGTAACTATGCACAAAACTATTATATGAAATAATATTTTTGTATATACTTCAGAAAATATGTTCATTATTACAGCACATGAAATATTACATAAGCACCTTTGGGGGCAAACACAGCTCTGGGACCTGTTGCTTGCGAGGAGACACGAATGCAACAAATTTCACACAGGAGTATACACAGGGAGGTGTACCACGCTTCTCTGTGTATACACACTGAAGAGTACTTTAGTCCTGGACTATGATCAAGACTAAAGTGTACATGCTTGTTGGCCCATGAGTTCTTGTGGTGCAACCCGTCCTCGACTCAAGTCCATTACATCCAGCGGTCGACCCCACCGACGCTGTCATAAATTTGTAAATGCTGTTCATTCAAAACGGGAATTTTCTCAAATATAAATTAATATTACAATATATTAGCATATTATGCATATATAGGCATAAGTTAGGTTGGGTTTGGTGTTTAGGTTCTGTTGACGATTATTTGTATTTATACAACCCGTTCTCGCATTCAAAGATCCAAGCTCTTTAATCCAGCCGCCAAACCCCCTGTTTATGAATGACAAACGGTTTCCACACGACTCACAACTGATTTCGTTCGAACAATTCCGGAACAAGTGCTTCACTAACGAATTCTGTTCGAACCACAACGCTATGAATGCTCAGCCCGTCCTCCAAACAAAGATCCAAAAGTGATTCCATGCACCCGCCAAACCCCCTGTTTATGAATGAAAAGCGGTTTACACACGACTCACAACTGCTGACGTTCGAACATATCCGGAACAAGTGCTTCACTGACGAATTTTGTTCGAATCACAACGCTGTAAATGCTTCACCCACGTACTACAGATACGAATTATCGCCAATAGACCTAAACACGTAACCTAACCAGTGCCTAAATACGTACAATATGGTAATATATATTAATATTAATTTATATTTGAGAAAATTCCTGTTTTGAATGAACAGCATGTTAAAATTTATGAATGCGTCTTTGGGGTCCACCGCTGGATGGAATGGACTTGGTCTGAGGACGGGTTGGAGTCAAATACTTACATATAAAAATCTACATACGACAGTATTTGACTTACAACTTGGGCTGGAAAATACTAGTGCCAAGTGTTATATGATTCAATGGTTCCTCGACATCTATTACCTTAGCTAATTTATAACAAAGGTAAATATGTCAAAAGAAATCAACTATATACCATGATTTAAGTCACTAGAATGAGGAGCGATTAACCGTCCCCCGGTTAAAATATCCCCTAGTCCCCACAGAGAAACCAGACCTGCCAACATAATGTATGAATGAGCACAACACAAAAAAGCATAAATAAAACCATACAGAGGGATGAAAATAATCAGCAGCTGCTGATGCCTGTAAACAGAAGTCAGCGGCTGGTTCCAAGAACACAATAAACAACACTGGGGTTTATGTGTATTGTCGTATAATTTGGTCTTAAAATAGAATGTGTCACTGTAAGAGGTTAATGTTAGTGGCATCAGGATATAGGACAAAGTGACAGCAATATATGCCGCTCTCCCTCATGCAGCTAAACGTGTCTTTAGTTGACCCGCTCTGTACAGAGATGATGCGAGCCGGACGAGTCGCGGGACGAGCAGTGGAGCAATGCTCAAATAACTAACTGCAAATGTGAATTACATGACTGGAAAAATGCTGACGTCGTCAGGCTATGAGGTTCATGTTTATCGAGGCTAATACATGATATCGGTCACTGTATAACATCCCGTATTAATATTAACCTTCCATTCCCTATGACCGTGATCCAGGTGTATACAACAAGGTCGGGTAGCAATGCCCAGCTGGGGCACAAGACCAGGGTGGGAGGCGCCCTAAGGAAAGTGATGGTAGCGAAACTTACTCGGAAAAAGTGGGAGAGAGACGGTGGTATAAAAGGCTCCCACAACTGGGTCGTTGTCAGACGCCACCATGAAGCTCCTGGTGAGTGGTTCTTCCTCCAGCGCTCCTGCTGTATTACCTAGAATATCAATACAACGACTCAGGTGTATTACATCTGGGGTGGTATGCACACTGACCAAGTGACGTTACATGTGAAGCCTAACCTAACAGGACAGTTCGACTATAGCGACTTATTAGCGGTGTCAAGGGCTATATTTGCAATTAACTGCGTATCAGTAACTGATACGCAGTTACTGACTGATTTAACAAATGACGTCCTCTATAACGCTTACAAGACGACTTAAAGTATTGATTTTAGGAAATATACACAAAAATTTGGTTATTGCAAAACGACCAATGTAGACAACTTGTAACATAATTTAGGATCTGTATTTCCATTACGTCGCCATGCAAATAGTCGTCACTATTACTCTTGTAATTATTTACGTTATATGATGAGAACATCACTACAGAATGCTGAGAATTATTACACATAAACCTGGTACTTTCAGAGGAAATTAAACCAAAGAACTTGATCATAACGTTACAATGTGTGGCACAACACTCAACATTCTTCCGCCCTTCATGGCATCCACATCCTTGTAGTTGCAATTATAACTAAGTGACACACAATTCAATGTCATTCATGAGGTATGAAAACCCCACACCACATAGGAACAATCATACTCTAATGACACCCACACCTTATGATAACGTATTTAACCCAAGGAAATCCACACCATGTAATGGGATCATGACCTGCAGCCAGCCATATATATATATATATATATATATATATATATATATATATATATATATATATATATATATATATATATATATATATATATCATGTTGTATATTAATGAAAGCAAATTTCATTCTCAGCAGTTTACTAAATAAGTTGTGTTTATCTCTCCTTAAGATACTGACATGTGTGCTGGCAGCCGCTGCGGACGCCGCCCCTCAGGGATATAACCTAGCCAAGCCCTCTGGTCCAGCATTTGGAGGTGGCGGAGGGTTTGGCGGTGGCGGAGGGTTTGGCGGTGGCGGAGGGTTTGGAGGTGGAATAGGGATTGGAGGTGGTGGAGGGATTGGAGGTGGCATAGGAATTGGTGGTGGCGCTGGGATTGGAGGTGGGGCAGGGATTGGAGGTGGCGGTGTGTATGGTGGCGGTTGTGGAGGCGGGCAGATCCTCCATGTTGACGGCAGCTGTGTGACTCCTGTGGTCACTCGCAATCTCTATGTGTACAAAGCTCCTCCATTATCCCCAATCATTGGCCCAAAGCCATACATTCCTCCACCAAGAATTGAACACAATATCGTGTTCATCCGGACCCCAGAAGTCGGATTTGGTCAGGAACCCATTGTTGTGCCACCACCCCAACAGAAGAACGTTGTGTACGTCCTCAACAAGCGACCCTTGCACGACCAGAAGGTCATCCATGTACCAGCGCCAGAGCAAACAAATCCTGAAGTCTTCTTCGTTAACTATGGTGAAGGCGAGAACCCGACTCTGCCCACTGGAGAGGACCTCCAGTCAGCCCTCAGCTCTGCCGCTCAAGGTGGCGGTAATGTGATTGGTGGCTTCGGCGGCGGCTTTGGTGGAGATGGTGGCTTTGGAAGCGGCGGTGGCTTTGATGGTGGAGCTGGCTTTGTGAGTGGCGGTGGCAGTTTTGGTGGCGGCGGTGGCAGCTTTGATGGTGGAGCTGGCTTTGTGAGTGGCGGCGGTAGCTTTGGTGGCGGCGGTGTTTCAGGAGGCATTGGCCACACCGTGTCTCAGCCGTCGTCGCTGTACTCAGCGCCATAATATCATAATTATTTAATACCAACAAAAACTTTGTTTATTTATTGTAATGTTATTGTTGCTTTAAGAGTTACATATATTTTATCATTTATATATTGCAATTAATTTAAAAACTATATTGCAAGACAATGGTAGAAAATTAACTGTAATTACGTTTTTTGTTATAAATTAAATATTTGTTGACATTGCGTATTGTTTAATTTACCTTACAGAATTATTGTTTAATTACTAAGGCAACTGATTTACTATTGTAGAGTGGTATAAAACGACAGCCTCGCTTATTTTTAGGAATGACTGGTCAGTATAGACATCGAGAGAGAGAGAGAGAGAGAGAGAGAGAGAGAGAGAGAGAGAGAGACAAAGACAGATACACAGAGATAGATGTACAGAGAGAAAAATAGACAGTGAGAGACAGACAGTCAGGCAGAAGACAGAGAGACAAGGTTGACCCATGCACTACTGGGAATCTTTAATCAGTAATTCGTGATCTTAATATTATTATATGTATATTAATATTTTTTGACATAAACTAATTTGGAAACAAATATCTTAAAATTTTTAAAATCTCTTTGCTTGTTAACAAATAGGGCCTTGCATTCTGTATATATGTTGAACTCCAGTACTTTGCCAAGTATGAAAAGGCTGATTTGCCTAACTACCTGAGTGATTTTCATTTTTTCAAATATTTTTTCCAAATTGCTATATTCCAATAAATATTATAATATTACATTAAGAGCACGAATTACTGACTTAGTTATGTTAGGTTTGATAAAATTTCTGTTAGGTTTAGTTTTAAATTAAAAAAAATCAAATCAAATAATGTCATGTTAAGTTCATTATTCCATAAGAAAAACTGTGAAAAATAAATTGTTAAATAATATAAACATATTCGCTTTGTTTGGCAACTTGGCCTGTTAGGTGTATATATATATATATATATATATATATATATATATATATATATATATATATATATATATATATATATATATATATATATATATATATATATATGTGTGTGTGTGTATATTTATCTAACATTGCTGGAGGCAGCTTTTAGGAAGGACAGAGCGCATCTTCTAGCTGTGCAAATTCCCCATGCCGGGGACTTCCTGTTGGCAGTCCCTAATTCCGCCTTGGACACCCGCCTGAACCATCGAGCCCTAAATATTGGTGTTGCCCTGCGCCTTGTCGCCCCTATCTTCACCGAACACCGGTGTATCTGCAGCTATGTGCGGCCGGACCAATACGGCAGCCATGGTCTCATCTGTCGTAATTCAGCAGGAAACATTGCCAGACATGAAACTGTCAATGACAACATCAAGAGAAGTTTGACTACAGCTGGGTGTCCAGCACAAAGGGAACCTCAGTTGTGCAGACCTGACATCAGCAACAAACGCCCAGATGGAGTCACCCTGCAGTCATGGAGGGAAGGTAAACAGGTCGTAAGGGACTAATCGTGTGCGTCTACATTGTGTCTTCAACAGGAAACCAACGTCGTCTATACCTTCAAATGCCCACATGGGGACTGTAAGCCCCAAAGAACTCAGTATATAGGCAAGACAACAACGTCTCTTTCCAGGCGATTAACAATGCATAAACAACAGGGCTCCATCAAGGTACATATAATCTCTTCTCACAACCAGACCATCACCAGAGAAATCTTAACAAACAACACAGAAATCATCGATAGATACAGCGACAGCAGGAGGCTCGACATCAGCGAGGCACTACACATAAACAAGTCAACACCAGCAATCAACAGCCAATTAAAACACAACTATATTCTACGCACTTCAAGACCCCGAACCAACATAGAAGCAGGAAGAGAAGGTATGGGCCAATAGGCCTTCTGCAGTTGCCAAAAAGAAGAATAGGGGTGGTAGGAGAAGGTAGAGAGAACCATCCATGGTTCCTGCCCGCCATCTGAGAAGCTGGAGGAGCTATACAACTTGTGACAAGTAGTCTTGTACCTTGCATGTAACCAATGTTGCAACCCTTTTTGTGTAATGAAATTTTATTAAAATAAAGTTAGATATATATACACACACACTAAAAGAATAGGGGTGGTAGGAGAAGAAAATATCAAAGTGTTCAGTGAGGATCCACAAGGTCTTCCCTGAGTACTCTTTATTTTCTTCTCCGAGGCTATGGGTCCCTACACTTGCACCAAAGGTGGTACCTCTTTTAGGTTTAAATATATATATATATATATATATATATATATATATATATATATATATATATATATATATATATATATATATATATATATATATATATATATATATATATAAACTAAGAACGTGCGAATTCTGGCTATTGACGATCGTCCCAATAGTTACTATCTACACAGGAAGATGGGTTGATACATTTAGTTCGTGCTTTTGTTATTTCAATAAATGTTTTAATTTTAAGGCCTAATTAAATTATTATTCTATTAAGGTGAGATGGTTTGGGATTAATTTTTTATGTGTTAATAATAAATTATCAAAATGAAAAATCTGCTAATGCTGGTATATTTTGTCCAATCGAGTAGGAGATTCATTGCAATTCAGAGTTGGAGATGAAGTAATTCTGTAAAAAAATTGCTATATTTTTTCAGTGGCGAGATGAAATTTTATAATTTGAAGGTTATATACTAGTAAAGATATATTTCGGAAAAAAATGAATTGTTATAGCTGCTATAAGTAAATGAGCGCAAAAAAAAATTCTGCTTGATTATTTGCTGTCATGAGAGCTCCTAATCCTTTTTCTACATTAGTTCATTAATCAACTTTAGTAACTGCTGGAGTTTATTTATTAAATCGGTTTAAACCTATTTTTGAAGGATCTTTAATTCTATTTTATTCATTATTTCTTGCAAGACTATATTTATAGCAGGGGTTAGGAGCTAATTTTAGGTACGATTTAAAGAAAATTGTTGTTTTTATCTACTTTAAAGCAATTAGGTGTTATATTTAAAATTTTATCTTTAGGATTTCCTGGTCTTGCTTTTTTGTCATTTATTAACTCATGCTTTATTTAATTAAGGCTTTGTTATTTTTATGGGCAGGAGTAATATTTAATAGATTATCAAGATATTAATATAATAGGAAGATTAGTTTTGAATATACCTTTGACTAGAATTTGTATAAAATTTAGCTTTATGTGGAATACCTTTCATAGCTAGATTTTATTTTTATTTGATTTTAAAGATTTAATTTTAGAAGTTGTTTTCATAAAGAATATTAATTTTATTTGGTTTGTTATATACATTTTGGCGACAGGGCTAACAGTGAGTTACATCTTTCGTTTAATTGTTCATAGTCTTACAAGGATATTACATACAAGAAGTATAAATTGTATGAGAGGTAAGGAATTTATTATAACTAGTTTAGTTCAGTTCATTTATTAGGCACCTGTCTTGTCTGCATGCTCCACAGCATCGCTGGCGACAATGAACCTTTAGAAATCTCAATAGAGCCACCTGGCCTACAATATTATCTAGAGGTAGGGAAAAGTACATACAAATTGCCAGTTTACTGGGGCATATCTACGCAAAGGACAGTAAAAAAAATATGTATACAGCTCTCGTAAACTGTTACTCCAAAAGTACATCAATATAGCTCTCATTAAAGCACCTCGGAATCATTATCATGAAAATTGTAATTGGAAAAGCTGACTCTTGGGACCTATCCTAGCGCAGTGGTACACCAATTCTGGTTTGCTCCAAAGTCAGGACTACAGTATGGAGGTGACACATAATCAATTAAAGTGGGTGAGGAGTCAGTATCAATCAGGACACTGTAAATCACCTTCAAGTCCTCAGCTACCCACCACATACAAACATTTATACAAAATAGTCACCTACCACCTGTTCCACAAAAGATGATCCCCTGGTTATCTTGATCCATCATTCTACAACACTTTTACACTATGTCAAAAGCTTACAAGGTCCTTAGACCGCTAAATATGCAACAAAACGGGAGTGAGATGGAGGGCTGCTGCTCCCACCGACCGACCACAGGCCAATGGCGCCGGGCGACGGTACGCCACACTGACCCAACTCTGCCACTCAACCGTCACTTCTCTTTTTAAACATTATCAATGTGAATACACTGCGTTTTACAACCCTATTTAGATTCAAACAAACACAGATGCAATTAAGTATCACAAAATACAACTCCCAGTATACAATAATATAAGTCTGCCCGAAACGCTGCGCGTACTAGTGGCTTTACAAGACTGTAATTACCAGTTTATGTATCCTCACATTCCCAATGTACCTTCTTGTATATGCATAAATAAATAAATAAATAAGTCTATAGGCATACAATAGAAAATATCATATTACACGAGGATACAAACAAAGAATTTCCATCTTCAAGATTTGATATCACTTGACCCGGCCGGTAAGCAAGGGGGGGGGGGGGGGGGGCGGGGATGAGGGAGGATTCAAAAGAATTACCAAGTCAACCATTAATACATAATTATACAGTAATACAAGTAAAATATAATATACACGACATAATCACAAACCCTCCCTGTTTCTATATACCCTCACAATACAAGTATAGCACTATTATCAAGCCAGTAGGTATCAGCAACAGTAGCCTTCTGGCCTAACATTCTACTACAGAATATATATATTAATATATAATAGTACATACAGCATTGATATATGGCAAGTATATATATATATATATATATATATATATATATATATATATATATATATATATATATATATATATATATATATTACATAAGAAACACTATACTGTATACACATAAAAGTATAGCAAGGTAATAGTAATATATAACAAACTAAGAGTGATACTAGGCTACACTGCCTTATATCACAATACGGTATGATCTCAGCGTATACCAATCATATTGGTGTATGCTGGGTCATAACAGCACTCCATACCCGTCTTGTAGGCGGAAGTGGAAAGAGTTACAGAGGCACATAATGGACTCAGGGACTGAACCCCACAATTCATATAGCTAAGTAAGTTATAATCGTATGAGCTAGTTACATAATTCAATGCACATCGTCACATCAACAATGGGCTCGAGACTGACCACAAGTACAGTTTTTAAATTAAGCAACTGACATATGTGGAGAGCTGGTGTCAATCGATATGTTTGTCCTGTACACCGACCCCCCCCCCCATCCAGTGGGCAACGGTGGATAGGTTACAAT